AGCGCGTTAGCTGCTTTCATTGGCTTCCCTCCCTGCCATTCCTCAGGTCCTGACATTTCCATGGGAATGAGTTTGTCAACGTGGGAAGGGCTTGGAGGGGATGGTTTTAGCGAATCGCTGCAAAATGTTGAAAGCTCTGCAATTATTTTTATCAATTACCCAAGAATAAGACAACAGAAACCATGGCCTTCTCGTCCTGGTGGTGCCAAGTGGCCTAATGGTGTTAGTGAAGATGCGCTAAGTGCCTGTTGAGTGCCGGCTGCCACTCACAACCCGCAGCTGTGTGGAAATGGTGACAGCACCGGTCACAGGAGACGCCCCAGAGGGCTGACGTCTCGCCCACTCTGTCCCCTCGCCCCGCGCCCAGGGCACCAGCGGCTTCGGCCTCGGAGCTCAGCCACGCCCAGAGAGTGCTGGGATGGGAGAGAGGCGGGTTCTCACTTCCTCCCTTCTGTGGTGCACAAACACGGTCCCCTGTGCCTCTCGGTCCTGTGTGCCCCGCCGCCCCGGGGAACCCTGGGAGAAAGCTCGCCTGTCACTGGAGGCGGCATCGGGCAGAGTCCCATAGGCAGGCCTGGGACAGAGCCGCCCGCCCAGGGCTCGCTGATGCAGGGAGTCTGGGGGCTCCCTGTCCTTGAGAGAAAGCAGCACCCTGCAGCCACACCGGCTCACACACCGCACTGCGCACGGCCTGGGGACCGCAGCCACGGCACTGTCCACAGAGGGACAGCTGGGGCAGCTCCTGCCATTTCTGCTCACTTCCGCCCATAGCTGAGGCCTCACGGGGTCCCTGCTCCCCCCGAGTAAGGCCCTCACGGGGTCCCTGCCCCCCCCCAGAGTGAGGCCCTCACTGGGTCCCTGCTCCCACCCCGAGTGAGGCCCTCACGGGGTCTCTGCCCCCCCACCGAGTGAGGCCCTCATGGGGTCCCTGCTCCCCACCCCGAGTGAGGGCCTCACGGGGTCCCTGCTCCCCCCTGAGTGAGGCCCTCACGGGGTCCCTGCCCCCCCCCGAGTGAGGCCCTCACGGGGTCCCTGCTCCCCCCGCCGAGTGAGGCCCTCATGGGGTCCCTGCTCCCCCCCCCGAATGAGGCCCTCACGGGGTCCCTGCTCCCCCCGATGAGTGAGGCCCTCACAGTGTCCCTGCTCCCCCCCATGAGTGAGGCCCTCATGGGGTCCCTGCTTCCCCCCATGAGTGAGGCCCTCACGGGGTCCCTGCTCCCCCACTGAGTGAAGCCCTCACGGGGTCCCTGTCACACCCCCTAGGGTGAGGCCCTCACGGGGTCCCTGCTCCCCCCCCAAAGTGAGGCCCTCACGGGGTCCCTGTCACACCCCCTAGGGTTAGGCCCCTCATGGGGACACTGCTCCCCCCAAAGTGAGGCCCTCACGGGGTCCCTGTCACACCCCCTAGGGTGAGGCCCCTCATGGCGACACAGCTGGCATGCACCAGAGGGCACGTCCTCCTCAGGTCGGCACAGGTGGCCCCGAGGGCTCCTCTCTGAGATGCTGACCTCACAGGGGTGTCAGGGCCTCCACGTCACAGTGCAGCACCTGCGCGCGGGGAGGGCTCGCCCCCGCCGAAAGCCAGGCCTCCACAGCGCGGTCGGCACAGCGGCTGGGGTGTGACGGCTCACACACGCCCCAGAACGTGGCCGCCTCGTGGAGTCGCTGCTGTGTCACCGGGAGACGAGAGCCTCCCCAGGGGTCACTGCTGGCGTCCCCTCAGAGTGGGGGCCTCCGGACGCAGCTGAGTGCCGGCTCCCGCCTGAGGATGAGGGTCCCCTCACGGGCGACTTCGCAGGCAGGAAGTGAGCGGTGTGCGCCGCGGGGGATATCTCACAGAGTTGCTTTAGACGTTAAAACACACGGCAGTGGCCGGCGCCGTGGCTCACTAGGCTAATCCTCCGCCTGCGGCGCCGGCACCCCGGGTTCTAGTCCCGGTCAGGGTGCCGGATTCTGTCCCGGTTGCCCCTCTTCCAGGCCAGCTCTCTGCTGTGGCCCGGGAGTGCAGTGGAGGATGGCCCAAGTGCTTGGGCCCTGCACCCCATGGGAGACCAGGAGAAGCACCTGGCTCCTGCCTTCGGATCAGCGTGGTGCACACCAGCCGTGGCGGCCATTGGAGGGTGAACCAACGGCAAAGGAAGACCTTTCTCTCTGTTTCTCTCTGTCTCTCTCTCTCACTAACTCTGCCTGTCCAAAAAACAAAACAAAACAAAACAAAAAAAAACAAAAAAAAACCCACGGCAAGACAGCCAGTCCCCAGTCCCACCCCTGTTGTTTCCAGCCTGGGCAAGAAGTCACACACTGTGCGTGGGCCCTTGAAAATACCCACGGAAAAATAGAATTCAGTGATAACTCTATCTTGGTGTAGAATAATAGGAATCAGTGCATACTTGTTCTTCAAGAGTTCAGGAAAAATGCACACTGGTAAAAAGAACTATGCACTTGTATAATTTTGCACCATTTCTATGAATTTTTGAAGTCATTTTGTACATCTGTATATTCAAATAATTAAATCATTGTAAATTATACATTATAAATTATTACATGAAATGTCTCCCATCTTCTTACTTTAGCAAGTACATCTTCATAATGCCCAGGAAGTTCAAGGTCAGGCTTCTATTTTTGGCCTGCCACCCATGCTCTGGGTTTGCTCTGCCCTTCCTCCCACCAGCCGTGTCCAGCACGGCAAGGGCCTCTCAGGTGCACAGTCACCCTCGGCCAGCGGCCCAGGCCCCACTGTGTCTCAGCACCGCCAGCTGCCCTCTGGCCTGACAGAGCAGCGCGGTCCCTTGGGCCCCTAGGGTCCTGGGGGCAGAGCAGGCTCTGGGGGCGGCAGTGGGGGGTGGTCCAGGGCAGAGGCTGTTTCCCACCCAGGTGGGGGGCACTGCAGGTATTTCCTAGAGGCCAAATGTTAAATGGAGCAGGGAGCCTGGAGCAGGGCTTGACGGTGCCCTGGGACTGAGCTGGGAGAGGAAGGGCTGACGCTGAGCGGGGACTTTCCCCGTCCCTGTGTTCTCTGCTTGTTCTTTCCCTGTCCCGGTACCGTCAGTGAAGGCCCTGTGTAGTCGCGGAGGCGACCAGGGGCCAGCGCGCACGTCCAAGGGTGTAGCAGAGCTGCGTACCCCAGGAGCTGGAGTGAAAGAACCCACAGAAGAGCGCAGCACGCGTGGCCCCGCAGTGTCCTGCAGCCTCTTTCACGTGCTACCCTGGACGCTCCGAGCAAGCAAAGGGCCCCTCAGGGCCCCCCGACTGCTCGTGGCCCCTTCCCTGTCCCCCGTTACTTGGGACGTGCCGACCGCCACAGCCTTCTGGGGGTGGGGTGTGAGCACGGACCACACTTTCCCAGCAGGAGGAACACTCCTTTTCTGCTGGCTGGAGCTGGCCTGATGGGGACACCCAGTGGCCCACGGCGGGCGGCCCGGGGGCCGGAGCCAGACAGAGGCGCCAGGTCCCCAAGGCTTCCTGTACCTGCACTGCAACGGGACACAGAGATCAGCTTCTGCCGGCGCCACGGCTCACTAAGCTAATCCTCCGCCTGCGGCGCTGGCACACCGGGTTCTAGTCTCGGTCGGGGCGCCGGATTCTGTCCCGGTTGCCCCTCTTCCAGGCCAGCTCTCTGCTGTGGCCAGGGAGTGCGGTGGAGGATGGCCCAAGTGCTTGGGTCCTGCACCCCATGGGAGACCAGGAGAAGCACCTGGCTCCTGCCTTCGGATTGGCTTGGTGCGCCGGCCACGGTGCGCCGGCCACGGCAGCCATTGGAGGGTGAACCAATGGCAAAGGGAGACTTTTCTCTCTGTCTGTCTCTCTCACTGTCCACTCTGCCTGTCCAAAAATAAATAAACAAATAAACAAATAAAATAAATAAATAAAGAGATCAGCTTCCGTGAGGCTGGGTTTTGCTGTTGGTTTCTTTTAGCCACGGCGAAGACTGTAGCTTGTCCCCCAGGCCATTTCTGCCGTCCATGGCCTTCCTGGACGGTGTAGACCGAGCACGTGGCCCCGCGGCACTTGTCCTCTGTGCTGAAACCCTCCAAGTCTGAGTCTGGCCTTGAGGAGAATCACTCTGCGTTTCCTAAAACTCAACAACCCCAAGTTTGCTATGCTCAGTTACATGCCGTCGCGCGCTGCTGTCTTAGGCTCAGAACCCACAAATGTGGACTGAATCAAATCCCCCTGACCTTCACAAGGCATTTTCTCTGCAGAGACGGCGTCCGGGGTTTAGAGGGCATAGCCCGCGGGGGGTTGGGACCTGGAGAGACACTCCTGTAGGGGACGCTGGTGGCCTGTGTCCTGACTCCTCTCAGCCGGCCTGCACTCCCCAGGGCCCGAGGCCAGGGTGTTACCCCACAGCCCTGGAAATCGCTTTCCATTGCTTGCTTCACCTTTGCTTCTCCTTTTCCTGGCCAACTATGAAGGCCTGACCTGCTGTATCCTCAGGCTGTAGAGCCTCAGGCTGTAGCCTCAGGCTGTAGCCTCAGGCTGTACCCTCAGGCTGTACCCTCAGGCTGTAGCCTCAGGCTGTAGAGCCTCAGGCTGTATCCTCAGGCTGTACCCTCAGGCTGTAGAGCCTCAGGCTATAGAGCCTCAGGCTGTAGCCTCAGGCTGCAGCCTGCACTTGGCCCAGTGCCAAGGTGATGAATGAATGAATGAATGAGTGGCCAGCGGATGAAGAGACGAGCCCCCCCATGTCTGACTCCTGGCCCCTCCCACACACCATGTCTGGAAGCAAATCCAGGCTTCCTTGCCGCCCTCTTCTGCTCTGAGAAACCAACATCCCTGCCTGGGCTGTTATGCTCCCACTGTCTGCCCCCACTCCCCCAGCACACGCCAGTCTTCCAGTGCAGACACTGGGGAGAGAGGGGCTGGGCAGGCCCTGTGAGGGCCGTGTGGAACCAGGAGGGCTACAGTTCTCTCTCTGTGCAGGTAGGTACAGCGCACTGGAGGAGGAAGCAGCAGAGGCCTTTGAAGAAGTGACACCTACTCTTATCTCCTTCGCAGGTTCCCAGACACAGAGGTGACAGCAGGAGCTGGAGCAGCCATCTTGGGCCACCAGAGGGAAGAGAGAGCCACAACAAAGGAGCCGGGGCCCCCAGCCCTTCAGAGCGGCCCCACCAGCCGCGGGTGCCTTTGCGTGGCTGCTCCGTGGGGACAGTCTGTTTCCAGGCACTGCAACTTGGGATCTGCCAGGGAGAACTAGTCCCGACCTCAGCTGTCCCATGGGAGACACTGGCAGGGGAGACCACACAGGGGAGCCTTGGGCCTCGCCCCTGGTGACCTGGGGACCTCTGGAAAGCCCTCAGGGAGGGGCCAGTGCTGGCCCAGAGCGAGCAGCCGAGCTGCTGCAGTGGAATGCCTTTGGGAGCGAATGAGAGAATTAGCCTAAGCTCTGGATTTGGGGCTTTGATGGGCTTAAGACAGACTTTTAATCACCCTGCACTCCCTGTGGTCCCTGTGAATTTTAATGGCCCTGGCCCGCGCGTGCGCACACACACACACACACACACACACAGCCCCCAGCAGGCGTCCCGACACCTGCCTCATGGCCTTGGGTCATGAGCCCTTTCCACCGGTTGTCTCAGTTGCACGAGGGGAATTCTTTCTGCTTCTCCATGCGGCTCTTCTGAGATACAGACAGACCGATGGAGGCTCAAAACAGGGGCCTTGGCCGCGCTGAGGGGCCCGGACCCCTACAGTGGTTTGCAAGTACACAGGTTTAATAGGAGCGGGTCCATGTTCCCCAGAGTCTCACAGAGGCGTGGCCCCTCCCCCACCCCGACGGTTCTGGAAACGCTGCAGGAGGTGCCATCTGGGGTGGGGGAGGGTGAGAGGCCTCAGCGGCTGAGGTGGGAGAGAGCGCACCCTCCAGCCTCCTCCGGCTTGCTGCGGCGCTGGGCCCACCGGGTCAGCGCGTGGACCCAGGCAACCTGCCTCCCTCGCGCCCTCTTGACTCCCAGTATCCAAGCTGGTTAACCAGTCGTTTCCAGGTGGGAAGGAGATACCCCCGAGGCCGGCAGGGGCTCAGACCGCGCTCGGTACCACCGCGCGCCTCTGCCTCCCACAGGGTGCGAATGCCTGCCGCAGGGCTGGGCCGCAGGGCTGGGCCACGGACACCGCAGGGCTGGGCCGCAGGGCTGGGCCACGGACACCGCAGGGCTGGGCCGCAGGGCTGGGCCGCCGCGGGCCGCAGGGCTGGGCCAGGGACACCGCAGGCGCTGAGCAAGGGGCTTCGGCGAGGCCGGGATCGGGCCTCCTCCTCCGGCTGCCCGCGCTCTGCCTCAGTGCTGCCGCCGACGCCGGCCGTGTGCGGGCCAGGAGTTCGTAAGCCCGAAAGGTCAGAGAAACCCATTCGAGACGCCTTTGGAATAACGTATTTGAGACCTTAAAAAAAATAAAAGGTGTTAAAACAGAGTTGTTGTTTTCCAGCGCTTCAGTAAAGGTCGGAGAGTGACTGGAGAGGAGGCGAGCCCAGGACCCGGCCGGGTAGGTAGCCTGCCCTGAGCGCCCCCCGCGCCGCCCCGCCCGAGCGCCCACCCGCGCCGTGCGCCCGCGGCTGCCCCGCAGCGCCGCCCTCCGCCCCGGCCCCGGGAAGCCCCCGGCGCACACGCGGCTGCGCCCGCGCGCTGGGCCCTGAGGCCGCCGCCGCCTCGCCTTGCGCGCCCGGCCCGGCCCGGGGGCCGGCGCTGCGGGCGCTGCGGGCCGGGCCGGGCCGGGCCGGCGGGCTGCGGGGAGCGGGGCCGCGGCGCCGCACCAGCCACCAAGCCTCATTACCACCCCTTAATGAGACCCCTTTACTCCGTGACGTGCAACCGCTCCATCTCATTAAGGAAATCGCTCTTCAATGCTGATTATTTTATTTGCAGCCATAATTATATTTCTTTCGGCTAAATCACGGTTTAATCGAGCCCACATGGAGGGCAGCAGCACTAATTACGGCGGGGGATGCGGCGGCGGCGGGCGCGGCCGCGGGCCGGGGCGGGGAGGGGCGCGCGCGGGCGCGGGCGGGGGCCCAGGCTCGCACAACAACTTATTACTTCTAATTCCCCAACTGTCACCAAATCACCTGCACGAAACAAGAATCTAATTTGCTAAGCTGGCGTGACTGCAGATGGAAGATCGATCTCCGCCGCCGATTTCTCTAATTGAGCGAATATAGACGCCCGGGATAGCGCCCGGGCCGCGCCGAGGGCGGGGAGCCGGCGGGGAGGGGAAAGCAGGGGACAGGGGACAGGAGGGGGGCAGGAGGGGGGAGAGGAAGGGACAGGACAGGGACAGGAGGAAGGACAGGGCACAGGAGTGGGGAGAGGAAGGGATAGGAGAGGGGGAGGAGGAAGGACAGGGCACAGGAGGGGGGAGAGGAAGGGATAGGAGAGGGGGAGGAGGAGAAGAGGGGGAAGGAAGGGACAGGAGAGGGGACAGGAGAGGGACAGGAGGGAAGAGAGAGGGAGGGCGGGAACAGGAAGGGACAGGATGGGGGAGGAGGGAGAGAGGAGAGGAGAGAGGAAGGGACAGGAGGAGGTACAGGAAGAGGAGGGGACAGGAGAGGCGAGGAGGGGACAGAGGAGGAGAGGAAGGGACAGGAGGGGGAGGGGGAGAGGAGGGAGGGCGGGAACAGGAGGGGACAGGAGAGGGAGAGGAAGGGACAGGAGGGAGGACAGGGACAGGAGGGGACAGGAGAGGCGAGGAGGGGACAGAGGAGGAGAAGAGAGGGGAGAGAAGGAGAGGGGAGAGGAATGAGGGGGAAGGGAAGGAGGACAGGGGAGAAGCAAGGGACAGGCGGGAGAGGGGAGGTGGGAGGGGGGACCCTCGAAGAGCCAGAGGTGGGGGAGAAGCTGCAGGAGGGCGGCAGGCAGAGGTGACAAAAGGCCAGGACTCTGCAGTACCCTGGCGCCCACGCCCCCCCCCCACCTCGCGTGGGGCCCGGGGTGGCCCAGCCTGGGAGGGAAGGGGCGGGCGGGGCGCGGGCCTGCGGCTGAGGAACGCCTCACAGAATTACATTTGTTTTTCTTGTGATTTTATTAAAAGTCACTCCTCATCTCCAGAATGCGTGAAAATATCTACTTTCCACTCAGATACACCGCATTAACTTGTTGGAGGCGAATTTGTTTGTTTGTCTATTTTATTTATTTGCTAGATAAGATTGATGCAGTCTTATTAGCGCTCTATCTAGTTATAGAAAGAGATAAGGATGAGATGTTTCTCTTTTTATTCCAATTACTAGCCTTGTCACCTAACTGAATAACTGATATATGATTATTTATCCCGAGTAAATAGAAATCAGAAAAGCAACGAACTTGGCACACGGAAACAAACTCCCTGCGTCACCGATTGCGTCCCACGTGGCTAGGTGGGGCCCCTGGCCGTCGGGGCCGCGGCCGCGGGTGTCCGGCGGCGGTGGAGGAGGTGGGCGGAGCCGCGCCCCTGCCCCGGGAGTCACGCCGGGTGTGGGCTGCGCTTGGATTGCAAGGGGAAACGCCGCGTCCGGGCCGGACTCAGCCTTCGGGGCGGCCGGCGGCGGGCGGGCGCGCACTGCCCGCACCGGCTCCCGCGCAGGTGCACGCGCCGTGCGCACGCAGCCCCGCTCCCGTGCCTTAAAACCCACAAAAGCCTGGCCTGCGGGTCCTTGGCGTTTGGCTCCCAGGCTGCGGAGCCTGGGTCCCAGTAGGCAGTGTCTGGGAGCGGCCTGGAGACCCCCGCGCGCTGGGCCCTGGCCCGCGCAGCCCGGAGCGGACAGCGTCTCTGGGCGCCAGAGCCCGGCTTCAGGCGAGCCAAAAGTGGGGGGGCGCTCAGCCGAAACCAACGTGGCTGCCGTCCCCTCCCTGGGAACCACAGCAGGGTTCCGTGCCGTCGCTTCCTCCCACGCAGCGGCCTTCAGGTCGGCTCCCCGCGCGAGCCTCCAGCCCCCGGGTGCGGCCGGCCCCCGGCGTCCCGGGCCTGACCTCGGCTGCCCTCACGCCCGCGCTCGGCCCTTTGTGCGGGGCCGAGGCGGCCCGGGCAGGACCGCGCTGGGCGCGCCGCGTGGGCTGCTGCGTTTCCTGCGAAAGTAAACAGGCGCGTGCGAGTCACTTGATTTGTTTTCTGTAAGCAAATAATACCCAAAAGCAAGGCTGCAATTTACCACGAATTAAAATTGATTCTTTTCATCAGGCAAGAAAATAGGAAAGCGCGCGATCGTTAATTATCGAGGGAGGCTCTCTCGGTACCGCGCGGCGTTCAGTCGCGGGGGTGGCACCGCGGTCCCCAAACGACCCGCGGAGGCCCGAGGTTCCTGCTGGCGGAGACCCCGCTCGGGCCGCAGCGCCGGACGCAGCTCCTGCGCGGAGCCGGCGCCCGGTTTCCTGTCCTCCATCCCGGCCTCTGCTGAGACTTGGCCCCGAGGTCAGGGGACGGGAGACAGAGGAAAGGCGAGTGAGGGGCCCGAGCGGGATGGACCCGCCTCGGAGCCCCCACCCCCATCCCACCCCCCGGCCCGCGTCCCCGCACCGCGCGCGGGAGCCGGCGTTGCGGTTTCGGTGCGTGTAATTTACATAATCGCTCATCAAGATTTGGATTTTTAAAACCTGCGGGTCGCGGGAAGGCGGTCTGTCCCCGCGCGGCGCGGGCCCGGCCCCAGCGCGCTCGCTCGGTGCGCTTCGTTCCAAAGGAAAGGGGGAAGGAGCGGGAAGAGATGACTTCCCTGCGCATCGCCCCTTGGCAGGCTCCTGCACGAAATTCAATCTCTATTTTTTATGAGAAGTAAACTGTCTAAATAAATTTTATTAGGGGCAACCAATATATTTTCTGGTCGTTCCCTTTGTTCCACTTCTACGTGTGTGTAACAATCTAAAACCTATTTATTGAGGAAAAATCACTGAATCCGTCATAGAAAATCCTTTTACTTTGCCTCGAAGTGATTTCTGAAGACATTCTTGTCATTGCGAAGATTTGGGGCCGTCGCGCCCCGGCCTCGCCTTGTTAGGGACTTGGGCGGCCGCGATCATGTGGGAAATGCCTTAAATTATCGGCAGCGCCGGGCCTGACCGGCACTTCCCCGGCCGCCCCCGGAACGGGGCCGAGGCGGCGCCGCCCGCGCCGCCGCGCAGCCCCAGAGCCCGGCCCGCGGGCGGCGCGCCCGGCCCCGCCGCGCCCCCGCGTCCCCCGGCGCCCCTCCCACGCACATTTCCCTCTCTCTTTTCCTGCTCCCTTTCCCTGCGCTCGGAGACGCCCGGGCCCCGAAGTCTGGGAAGCAATGATTTAGTTTGTTTATACTGCTATAAAAATCAAGACCAATAGAAAAGTCATAAAACGAAGCGGGCCATCAATCACGCCGCGACGTCGCTCCTCGGCGGCCCTAACAGAGATGGATAATCCGCGGTTGCGTCCCATTGTTATGCCTCTGATGTGTCTCCGCATTAACTATTACACATTTATTTATCGACCTGAAACGTACAACAAAGCAGGATCTGCGGGCGCGCGCGGCAGGGCGCGGCTGTCGGGGCGGCTGCGGGCCGCGAGCCGGGCTGGCGGGCACGCACGCGGACCGCGGCCTCCCCTCGCCACAGGCCCCGTGGCAGCGCGGCCCGCCGGGCCTGCCCAGCGCGGGGTGCGGGAGGCCCCCGGGTTTCCTCCTGGGCCCCTTCTCCCCACCGCCGCCCCGCGTCCGCCTGTGGGTGCCTGTGCCCGCCCCGGACGAGGGCAGCCGGTGCGCCCTCCGCTTCCACATTAGGGGTTTGGGGAGTTTGGGGAAGCTGCGGTTGAGCGGACTCGGGTTGCTGGCGGTCTCGGAATTCTCCGAGGCCAAGCCTTTCCCACAGGGACCTGAGCGTTCGCCAAACGCCCCCGCAGCTCCCGGGCGCCCCGCAGCCGCCAGCGCTCCGCCAAGCCCGGATCCGCCGCACAGGCCGCAACTGCAGCAGCTGCGGCGGCCGCAGAAGCCCGGCCAGGCCCGGAGCTTGCGGGAGGCGGCCTGTGCAGCTGGCGCGGAGCCGTGTGCTGACGCCCTGCGCCCACACGTGTGTGTGCACGCGCGCGCGCACGTGTGTGTGCCCGGTGGGAGGGGGCGAAAACTGCCCCAGAGTCGCCCCGCCGCCTCCTTTGTCTCGGTGCGCGGTCCCTGTCTCTCTGACACACACAGGCACGCACACACTCGCGCGCGCGCGCGCGCACACACACACACACACACACACACACGAGTCCCCCCGCATCTGCTCTCAGGCAGCGTTTCCAGTGTTTTGTGTAAGTCAATTGGACGGCGAACAAAAAAAGCCATTTGCTCGGTATTATTTAAAACAGACTTCCGAGGGCCACCCTTTTGTGGAAGCTTTATTTGCACTAAATGAATAATCTTAATTGCATCACTCTCGAATTAAAAATCAATGTTAATCAAGTTGGGACTAGTAAATATCGCTTTTCATTGTGCCTGGGTAGAGGGCATTTTTCTTGTGCTGCAAATAAAAGTCCAAGTCAAATAACTTTAAAAGGGCATTATGCTTTGCTACAAACACAATTGAAACGGATTGTTTAGGAGCACATCAGAAATGGCACAGAATTTTGCACTTAATTTCCTGAGTTATCATTTACAATAAGAACCCCTGGGCCTGACAGCCAAGTCTAAACAGTAGTAAATTAGTACAAATTTATACTGATTTTACTCTAATAATCGTAATAAAAGCTTATAGATTTGGCACTAATTACATAAATGCCTAATGATCTTGAAAATTACTCTGGTTAGAAATATATTACTAATCTAAACTTTGTTGTTGGCTGGCTCTGAGAAATCAGAACATTAGAAATGGTTCGCTTCACTTGTGCAAAGCACTCTAAATTGTTCAAGTAGTTTAACATATTCAAAAGGAAAATACAGAGCATTTAACTTTATTTACAGCCTTAAGTGCAGTTGGGAGCCGAGCTGAACTTAGAAACTTTGTCTAAATGAGTAGCAGGTTATGGGGGCCCGGAAGCGAGCGAGGGGCGCGCAGAGGAGCCCGCGGGAAGGGTGCAGAGCGCGAAAGGCCACGGCGTGCGCCGGGCCCACCCCGGTCGCGGGCTCCTCGGTGAGCGCTGGGTCCGCCGGGGTAGGGGCTCGGCAGGCCCCGCTGCCCAGCCGGGGTGCCCGCCCCGGGCGCAGGCCTGCGGAGCGGCCGCGAAGTCTAGGCAGGGGCTGGAGGTGCCGGCGCGCCCTCGCGGTGCCCTGGGCTGGGCACAGCAGGCCGGTGTCGCCCAGAGCGCGCGGGCGGGGGCGACTCTCTGGTCACGAGGGGATGGTGCCCTGCTCTGGTCCCTGCCCTGCCTCGGCCCTGGGGAGACCCAGCTCGGAGCCACCGAGAGGGCGCGCCCTGGGCGAAGGCAGGGCCGGGCACGAGAAAGCAAAGACTCGCCTGGAGAAACTCGCCCGCAAGGACAGCTAACCCGGGCCGGGAGCCGAAGCCCGGGGCTGGGTCGAGGCGGCCGTCGCCGCCGGAGCGGCTGCCCGGGGCTGGAGCCGCCAGGGCTGCGGCCGCCGCCTCCTCCGGGCGGGCGCGGGCGGGCGGGCGGAGCGGGGGAAGCTCCGGGCGCTGACATTTGCAGCCTGCCCTCCTGATTGGTCCCCTCGCCGAGCTGCTCACGGGTTCATTCAACTGTTAAGCACCTCCCCGTCTCTCTAAAGGACATTATAATGCAAGAAGCCCCCTTTTTAACCACAAACCGAATTTTCTTTCATTTAGGTGATCTATATATATCTATATCGTATAGCTTATAGCTTATATCTATTTTAAATAACTTAAAGCCGCTAAAATTTGGGGGGGAACAGCTTTCGCCCTGGAGCGGTGCACGATGCTGTCTCATGCCGACCTCCTGGACGCCAGGCTAGGTGAGTGCGCCCCTCGCCCGGACAGCCAGGAGAAGCCGGGGCAGGAAATTGTCAATTTGTTCCTTATTTTACCTTAATGCGCCCTAAATGGACTAATTTCTTTAAAAGTAATTGTGCTGCATTAAAGTTTAATTTGATTTAACATCGTCTTTTTTTCTAAAAAAAAAAAAAATCTATGGAATATGTAGATCCAAAAAAGGAGTTGGGGAATGTTGTTACTTTTTGTTTTTCTTATTTTTCGTCTTCCCCCTCCCCTTTATTTATTTATTTATTTATTTTTTTGAAACGCGATCTGCCGCGGGGTGATTTGTTTGGAAGTTTTCCTTTTTCTCTCCTGTTTGCTTGGATTTGGGATTTCTTTCTCTTCGCCCCTCTCTTTCTCCTTTCTCACCACCTCTCTCCCTCCCTCCTCCTCCTCCTCCTCCACCGAGTGTGGCTCATTTTGTTTGAAAAAGAAAATCCGGCGCGAAGGTGAAGTCGCGGCGCGGCCGGGCGCACCTGCGGAGCGCGGCGGCCGAGGACCGCGGGCTCGCGGCACGGGCTCCCCGCCTTCTGCGAGGGCCTCGCGCCGCCCGAGGCTGGGAGGGACGCGCCCTTGATCTCAGCGGAAAGAGAAGTTGAATTCTCTGAAGTCTGATTCCCTGTTGCGTGTGCAGGGCTCCCGCGAGTCTCCTCCCTGCGGTCTGGGGCGCCGGGCTCCGCTCTCTGCCGTGGCAGTCTTCAGTGATGGATGGGACTCCATTTCCCAAACAGTTTCTCTGATTTGAGGGGGAGGCGGAGCGGAATTGGGTTGATTTCGGGGGTGGGAGGCCCTGAGCCTCATTCGTCTTGCGAGCGCGGGAGGGCCTCGGCCTCGGTGGAGCCCCCAGGTTGCCTAAGCGCAGGTGGGGCCGCGGCCGAGGAATCCCGGTTTCTTGCTTTCCGCCCCGCCTGGGCCCGAGCACCGCTTTCGACGCCTGGGGCACCGGGGACGCCGGCTTGAAAGGAACTTGGGGGCGGATTTTCCGGCCGCGCCGGAGAGTGTCTGGTTATGGGGAGTGAGGGAGGGCGGGGACGGGCTGCGGGCTGCGGGCCGGGGGCCAGGGCCGCGCGCGGGTCGTTCCCGCCTGGCTGTCCCGGTCCTGCGGTCGCCGGCGCAGCACCCAGGGCGAGCGCGGACGCGGAGGGGGCCGAGGCCCGTGCTGAGGGTTCGGCTCGGCCCCGCACGGCCAGGAAAGCGGTGACCGCGATCCCCTTGTCTCCGCAGGTATGAAAGATGCCGCCGAGCTGCTGGGCCACCGGGAGGCAGTGAAGTGTAGGCTTGGCGTGGGGGGCTCCGACCCCGGGGGCCACCCTGGGGACCTGGCGCCCAGCTCCGACCCTGTCGAGGGAGCCACTCTGCTGCCCGGGGAAGACATCACCACAGTGGGCTCTGCCCCGGCCTCGCTGGCGGTGAGCGCCAAAGACCCGGACAAGCAGCCGGGGCCCCAGGGCGGCCCGAACCCCAGCCAAGCCGGCCAGCAGCAGGGCCAGCAGAAGCAGAAGCGACACCGGACGCGTTTCACCCCCGCGCAGCTCAACGAGCTGGAGAGGAGCTTCGCCAAGACGCACTATCCCGACATCTTCATGCGCGAGGAGCTGGCGCTGCGTATCGGGCTGACTGAGTCCCGAGTGCAGGTGTGCGGGCCGGGCGCGGGGCGCGAGGGCCGGGCGGGGGACCGGGACGCTCCTCGCCCGCCGGCCCCTGGCCTGCGCGGGTCCAGTTAGCTCCTTCTCTGCCCAGAAGCCTACCCGAGCCGCCACCCCGCGGTGCAGGCTGCGAGGCCCGCCTCCCCGCCGCCAGCGTGGTCGCAGGGCTGCGGGCTGTACCGGGGTCCCCGGGAGGCCGCGACCGGCGCTCCCCGATCTCAATCCGCGTGGTTGACAAGTATTTCCTTTACCCTAATGACTTCGTGTTCGCGTCTGGATAAATGGGAATGCGGTAATTATACAGAAACCACGAAAACGGGGAAGATAAGGCGCCTTACAAAAGAGAGCCACAGCCACACCCGGGTTTTCTGGCGCGGCTTGATTCTTTGCGCCCACCCTGGCCATCAAGGCGCAGCAGCAGAGGCCGCCGAGAGCCCCTCAGCCTGCCAGGGTGTTTCCCCCCATTATTATTTTTTTTTTATTAAATAAAGGTTTCCCTAAAGAAACGGGGGTGGGCGGCGGGTCCAGGCTTTCTGTGGCAGAGCTCGGTACGAAGCCGGGGCGCCCAGGGCGAGAGGGTGCCGGTGCACACGGAATCGCCGCCAGCGCTGGCCGCTGTCCGCCCACCCTCCGCGTTGTGAAGTGCGTGTAACCCAGAAACCCAACCAGTCACTTTGCTGAAGATGGGGAGTGAGACAGCGCTGACCGCTCTGTGCGCAGGTGCCTGGAGGCGACCTTCGCGCGGCGGTCTGGAGCTGTCCAGGGTGCTGAACCCTCCCTCGGCGTCCTGGAGCGCAGCCCTCCGTCCCGGCTCCCCGCGTCCCCGACGCCCGGGTTGAGCCTGCGTTGTCGGTTTCCGTAAACTGACTTCGGAGGTCTCAGCTTCACTTCGCGCTCGGTCTAAGGCTGTTCACAGTCCTGGCGTTGAGCTCTTCTGTCGCCATTTCTGCGCGTTAGTGACAGTCTAAACCAAATAAACAGCGCGTGCTCCTGTCCCGGTAGTAAATGAATGCCATCGGAGACGTGAAATGGTCAAACTAATAAAATAATACTCAGGGTATAACATAATGGTTGACATTTTTATCCAGGGTAAGCCTGGGTGATTTTGTCAGAAAGGCCTGAGCCACAGACCAGTGAAATTACAAACCAAAGAGCGCTGGTCGCTCTGTGCGGAAACAGATATAAAATATACGTAGTGCTGTATGTCTAGCATGTGTATTGTATTTACAGATAATTTAGCATTTTAACCCCTCACCTCTATGTAAACCTAAAGTTGGGTTCAATCTTGTGCAGAATATGTAATTTCGATAGTAAGCTAACGATAATACCTGCTTTAGGCTCAGTCTTGTAGATCCAAAATTCACACGTTGGCTTTCCGGCCCTCACAAGAAATGCGGTCTATTACTTTTTGTTTTAAGGAGTAAAATACTGTGTCTTACCCTAGACATATTGGTAATTAGTTTAAATTAAAATAGAACTTAGGAATCACAAATAAAACGTAATTGGACAACTGCTTTTATGAAAAAAGAAAACGAGGTCTATTAAACTTTATTAGGTCTTCCAAAGGTTAATGACAGTGATTCTTTTAATAGAAAAAGTTGTAAATGAAATAAAATATAAACCATGTAATAGAAATAGTTATTTTCAAAAAGTACACAAGAGAATGTGCAAGAAGAAGGAGACAAAGTACTTTAATTGTTCTAGCATAATGTTCTACCAGAGATAATAGCTTGAGGCTGCTGAGAGAAACAATTTAATAGAATAGTAATTTCAATATTTTTTAAAATAATGTTTCATAGTTTAAAAAGTAATCAGATCAACATAACCTTCTTAATTAACACTTCAAAATGATTAACATTATGTAATGGAATGCAAAAATAATCTATGGAAAATGTATTTACTTCACAATTCACTGTACCATTGCTCCTGGACCAAATTCAAATTAAATAGTAATTGGTTGATGTTCTTATATGATGAGTCCTTCATAGTACCCTTACAGTTAACAGATTGCCACACACTCTTTTCAGCGTGTGGGCCACTGCGCTGATTAAAAATTATCTAAACATGTAATTTACTGCAGTTACGTGTTTTCGAGAGGCTTCTGGATTCCAGGAGAACTCACCCAGGATCCTTGCGTTTGCCCTGTACCTGGACTCTATCGCGATTCCAAGTATTTATTAAAGCGCTCTACTCACAGGGAGGCCAATGCCATGTCTGGTAGCGCTCCCCTTTTCTGGCTAGTGTAATAAAACCATTCCTTTTATAGCATGCCATTATTAGAAACCAATTTCAGAATTATTTATAACCTGGAATGGCTTATTAAGCAGCAATGCGAGAATCATGCAAATTACGCGATCAAATGCAATATAATAAGCATAATCATTAGTCTCTAGCACGGATTAATTAACTTTCAATATTTTATTTACATAAAAACCAAATCAGTGAAATAACTTGTGCACAGTCAGGCTTGCCTTTCAATATTTTACACGAACAAAAATAATGTGCTGTAATTCCATTGACCGTGTCCCCCAGAATGGCCCTGTCACCTGCCACATCTTAATAGGGGGACAAGTGGAGAGTATTTTCTCGTTTTCTAATGGAATGAGAAATTGCATTTTCTTCCTCTCCCAGCACTATTAAAGTGTAATGAATTCGGCCCAGAGTTCACGGCTGGCTGATCGAAATGAACCTGGGATCCAGGCTTTAATACAGCGCCCCAGATTCCCTCCCAAATCTTCCCATTAATCATGTGCTGGATTCCAATGAGATCTTCATCACGCGCCGGCTTCCAGGGGGAAGAAAGTAATACTGTCCTCTTCCTCCCTCGCCCTGTGTTTGGGAGCCATTTACAGCAGGGGAATCAAACGGGCTATAGATTTTAAAACACATTTACAGTATGTCTCTATTACTGTAGCGGCAGACGCCGGGGTGGGGTTTGCGACCGCAGCCCTGCGCTAGGCTCTCCCGCGGCGTTCAGTCTTTCCGGACAAAGACTGCGTTTCAGACCCGGCGCAGAGTTCCACCGCAGCTGCGGTTAATGGTGTATTTCCCGGAGCGCCTTCTGGAGCCTCCCTTAGGTTCTGCCTGCATTTTAATTCGTTCTGCTCTAGTTTTCAAGTGGAAATATTCACATTTAAGAAACATATGCATCGGAGCTTGGAGCGGAGGTGCGCAGACCCCGTGCAGATCGCCTCTCCCTCAATCCCAGTAAGCCATGAAACATAAAAAAATGTGTAGCCATCATTTGACTACTAACCCTCAAACATAATTGAGCGCGATCCTGCGATTATTCCTGTAATATTTAGTTCCTCAACAGCTGTTCTTTTCCGCCGGTGCCTGAGCCTGCCTGGCGACCCCCGCCCCTCTCTGCCGGCGTCTCCTCGCTCCGCGCTGCACCCCAGCCCCTCCCTCCGAACGAGCGGGAGTCACCCCCACTCGCGGGAGTCGCAGGCCTCGGCTTTTCGTTTTTTAAAGATACTTTAGGGCGTGTGAGGTGGGAGGCTCCCTCCCGGCCACCCCGGCCAGGTGGGGGTTGCGGCTGCCCGGGACCGTCTTCCGTCCTGGGGGTGTTTCCGGCTAAGGCCGCTCGGGGCTTAACCCGGACGCCCGATCCCAGCCACCGCACTGGGGTGGGCACAGCGTGGGAACTGGGCTAGAAAGCCGGGGACGGTCCAGCGGGGGACGGCGGCATGGGACGGACCCAGAGTCGGGCGATCAGCCCAGGTTGCGGGGTGCGGCGTGCGCGCGCGCGGCTGAGCTTGGCCCACGCGGTGGCGGGCGTGGGAGTGGCTGCGCCGCTGGGAAGGGCCGGCGGCCGAGGGCCAGCGCGGGCCAGCGGACAGGCCTGGTGCTGCGGCTTTGCGCGGGTGCTATCCACTTGGCATGGCGAACCTGTTCGCTCACCCGGATGGCGGTCGAAGCGCGCGGGTCGCCAGATTCCGGCAGGAAACTGAGTCAGTTGCCCGCGCCGCGTGCCCCGACATGCGGCAAACCCGCAGCCGCCTGCACTCCGAGCCGCGAGCCGTGGGGGGAGGAGGGTGGGCCCCCGCTAGCTGTTTTTGAAGCGAACGGATTGAGGGAGGAGGCGATGCGGGGGTCTCACATCCCCGGACCAGCGCGAGAGAAGCAAGCAGGGGCTTTTCTCCCACGAGTGTGTTTTACCAAACGGGCCTATGGCTCGCAGCAAAGGAGAGTGTTTTCCGAGCAGTGCGAGTCTTCTGCACCTTTCCTTTGTATTGGTCAGAAATTTTGTTTTTCTTTTACAGATGGGGCGGCGATGGGAGGGGGCTGGAGGTCTTGCTGCCGGGGACCCTCAGGGCCTGCAGACTTGGGGGCCCGGGGCTCAGAGTCCAGCACCCGGCACGGTGCAGACAAAGGCTCTGCAGCGCGCTCCGCCAGGCCAGGGGCGCGCGCGGACTCGGGGCGGCCGCTTTCCCACCTCCGTACCCGTCGACGGTGGCGCGGGGCTCCTCCTTTGTCTCTGGGCCTCGAAGCCCACGGTGTCACCCACGGCCCCATGGCGCACGGGTTCGTCCTCGCTCGCGCGGGGTGGGTCAGCCCGGGCCGCCCGGCGCCCCGCTGACCGCGCCCCGTGTGTGTCCCGCCCCGCCCGCTGCAGGTCTGGTTCCAGAACCGGCGCGCCAAGTGGAAGAAGCGCAAGAAGACGACCAACGTGTTCCGCGCGCCCGGCACGCTGCTGCCCACGCCGGGCCTGCCGCAGTTCCCGTCGGCCGCCGCCGCCGCCGCGGCCGCCATGGGCGACAGCCTGTGCTCCTTCCACGCCAACGACACGCGCTGGGCGGCGGCCGCCATGCCGGGAGTGTCGCAGCTGCCGCTGCCGCCCGCGCTCGGCCGCCAGCAGGCCATGGCGCAGTCGCTGTCGCAGTGCAGCCTGGCGGCGGGGCCGCCGCCCAACTCCATGGGGCTGTCCAACAGCCTGGCGGGCTCCAACGGCGCGGGGCTGCAGTCGCACCTCTACCAGCCCGCCTTCCCCGGCATGGTGCCCGCCTCCCTCCCCGGCCCCAGCAACGTCTCGGGCTCGCCCCAGCTCTGCAGCTCCCCGGACAGCAGCGACGTGTGGCGGGGCACGAGCATCGCCTCCCTGCGCCGCAAGGCGCTCGAGCACACAGTCTCCATGAGCTTCACCTAAAGCACCTGCGCCCGGGCCCCCGCCCCCCCGGAGCCCCTCGCCCGCCCCCGCCCCGCCCCGCCCCGCAGCCCCGCCCCGGCCGCGCCCGGCCCCTGCCCCGCCCGCGCCCGCGCCCGCGCCCGGCCCCGCCGCCTGCGATCCCGCCCGCCGCCGCCGCCGCCGCCGCCGCCGCCGCCGCCCCGGCCCCACGCCGCACGCCCTGCCCGCGCCCTCCCGCCCTTGTCCTTCCCAGGGAGTCGACTCAGGACCTGAAAGCAGACGCCAGCGGGCCGCGCTCCCAGCCCCGCTCCCGCGCGCCCGCCCGGCCCGGCCCGCGGGAGAACGCGTCGGGCTCCTTGTGCTTGCTCCAGCGCGGCCGCGCGCGGCGCGGGGCGCGGGGCAGGCGCCGCCTCGCGGGGGACGGCCCCGGCGGCGCGGCCCGGAGGCGCGGCAGCCGCGTGTCCCGCGGGGCCCGGCCGCGGCTCGCTTCCCCGCGCCCCTCCGCATGCGCCGGCCGAGCCCACGCCGGGGAGCGGGCGCGCGCTCCGAGAGGAACTCGCGGAGTAGGATGTTTTGTGTAGATCAAGCATTCTTGTCACATCCCGGTCAGTGTGTGGTACGTTCTGACTTCTGTCTGTGCTTCTTTATGGAATTTGCTTTTCTTAATAAACGTTTGAGCTGACACCCGGCGTATCCTTTGCCTCTTCCGGACACGTTCACATCCAGGCCAGCGCGAGCGGTGCGCGCCGTGCGGGGCCGCGGGCCTCGCTGCCACGCGGAGGGCGCGCCCGGGGGTCCGCGCGTGGCCGGCGTGCGGGGCGCTCGCCGCCCACCAGGCCTGAGCTCGGCTTCCGGACGCGGCGAGGCGACGCCGGCGCGCCCGCGAGGACCGACCCGGAGGTGCGGGGGCCCCCCGCCTGGAAGTGCAGAGGCCCCGCGTGAGTGCCCACGCGCGCTTGCGGCCTGGCGGGGCTTCGGGAGTTGGGGGCAGGCCAGGAGCGGCGGGCCGGGCTGGGCCGGCTTCCCGCGCGCAGAAGCGCACGGGCGCCCCTCGCGGGTTGCGCGCGTGGCGGGGTCGCCGTGGGCGGGAAGGGAACACGGCGCGCCCAGCGTGGCGCCTCCCTGCAGAGGCGACGCCGGTCCCGGCGCGGTCAGGAACGCGGGTGGGCGCCGGCCGAGCTGCCGTGAGCGGGCCTCGAAGCGAGCCACGTGCGCCGGCTTCCCGGCCGCAGAAAGAGCAGGACTCGGCCTTGCGGCGTGCCGCGTGACGGTCGCTGCCGGCGCGGACGCCTTCCCCGCGCCCCAGGGCCCGCAGTGCTGTCAGCTGCGGGAGCCGCGTGTGCGGTCTCCGGACCCCGAGCCCTGGCAGAGTCTGCAGGCTGGGACAAAGACACGCGACCTTCTGCGCGTGCGACGTTAGGGATTTTAATTAGGAGAAAGTCGGAGGGTGCATCGCCAGGATTTTCCAGGTTTATTTTCTAGAGAGCATTTTTGACGAAAGATGAACATATTAGGAAAAATGGAGCTTTTCTGTAGTTTTAGAATTCGTCCTACAATTAAACAGCGCAGCCACTGAATTTCTACCGTGCTTGCCTCTGCTGGGTTATACTTTTCATCGTATTCCCCCTCTTTATGCTCTTGCAGGGTTCTTGTTGTTAAGTTTGAAATCGCGGCCACTGGAATCTCCAGCCCTACAAACCAGAGATTGCTTCGCCAGTGAGCAGACAAGGGTGTTTACAGGGATGCTAATTTTACAGCTTTTTTATGCTGCTATAAACCATAACTTTATGATGTAGGAACGCAATAAAGGATGCTAAATGGAATCTTTAAAAATGGTATTTCTCAAAGGCTAGGCAAATGGGATCTTTCATTTGAAAAAAATGGGCCAGCTCAGAGCACTGATGAGAAGCTGGGAACCGGCTGAAGTGATGCGTGCTCTCCAAGATGCTCGTCTCATGACGTCGCGGTTCTCTATCAGTATTAAAATGAACGCGTTCAGAGCTTCTTGCTTGACCCGATTCTGGAATAATATTTGTTTCTATGGCAACAGAGTTTTGTGTTCGGGATCCTAGACATTTTAAAGTCACATGCGCGGCCAGGAAGAGAAGAGGCAGCCTGCTAACCCAAGTCTCGGCTCAGATAAAAAGTGCCGGTGACTCTCCTTCACCAGCCTCCATGATTCCTGCTTTTCGATGGGGGGTGGGGGGAGCTGACCACAGAATAAAGCTTCGTGTTGGTTTTTATTCATCATTAATAGGAACTCAGACTCAAAGCTGTTTAGGTCATAATAACTAAGACAGTGATGCCTGATATGGGAACGTAGCATGAGTTAGTGGGTGGTACGCGGCTGCCTGGAGTGAGCTGTACATTTTGCTGAGCGCCGTCAGCACGTGCTAGCTAGGACCGTCAGCCCGTGGTGATGTCACTGTGATGGATTTATCGTCATACGCGTATTCACCCTTGTGTCTCTGTTTTCTCCTCAACACTGGTACTGAATGTCGATGGGGGCGGGAACAGGACGTGGGGACACAGCCTGCCGAAGACCGTGGGAGCCGCCGAGCAGGAGCGGGGCGTTTGGGTCCATCGAGGCAGACTTGAGCGCGGGCACACGGAGGAGGAGGAAGCCGGGACTGTCGCCTCTGCCCTGGCTTACCTCTGTCTCTGCAGGTGGAGATGTGTCTTCGATTTGCATTGGGAACTTAAAATGTGCAGGATAAAGAAAACTTAACCCAGGAAGAGGTGTCTTCTGGTAATGGCAGCAGCTAAGACCATGCAACCTTCCTCTTCTCCTATTCCTGACATGAAGATAATCCCATCTGAGGGCCTTTAGGTGGGGGGCTCCCATCAAGGCACAGGGAGGGCTCCCATCAAAGCACGGGGGGACTACTGGCTCAGCAATCCCGCACCTCCTTCCTGCCGGGCTCCCGGATGCGTTAGTCATTCATCGGGCATTTCGGAGTTTTTGATTTGTCACCATTGGCCGGGTTCACTGAGTTCAGGCTAAATTGAGCCAGAAGCAATGTTTATTAGTAATTTTGTAGTACAGGCGACCCTAATAACTCAGCCCAGATATCTCATCTGAAAACCATCCATTCGCCCACGCTTCTAATGTGGGTTGCAGCTGTGTTCCCAGGGAGTTGAAAGAACACAAGTGATTGGGCATGTATTTTCTGAATTATTAATATGATGGCTAATAGCTGTAAACCCATCTTCGTATCCAATGCAGAAATTATGATTCATTTTAAAAGTGGAAGCCGCCGCCAAGGGGGCGCCCCCTGCCTGGCTGCGGCTCCCCTCAGCGCAGGAAGCCTGGCCTGTTTAGCATGTGGTCATTACAGAGAGAAGCAGAACCGCGCGTCTGCTCTTCCTCATGCGTGCTCTGGCCACACAAGGCCCGGCTCCAGGAGACTAACTCAGAAAACGCAGGGCCGAGCCTTCCAGAGACCTGTTCTGGTTTTGGTGACACCGTGATGGGTCTGTAAGCAGCTAGGCGGCATCTTCCTGCCACATGATCGGACATCCTGTGTGTCCAGGCTCCCGTCTTTCAAGCCATGCAGGATTCAAGGTGCACTGGCCACCGCGGCCCCCTCTCGGTTCCGCGCGGAAGTCCTTCACAAATACCAGCAGGTGTATCGCAGACCCACGGGACCTACACAGTGTGTGCCCTTCTAATCTTGATCGAAATGTCATAGGGCCCTATGAGCTTTCGTTCACAGTGCTTTTTGAGTCTATTTAAGATAAACAAGGTCAGAAAGCCCTGAATTCTGGAAAGATTATATGCAATTTTTAGGAAATTAAGAATAAAAAAAAAACACTACCAAATGGTAAAACACAAAGCACAGATGTACTGGAGTTGAAGAAGCTCCTTCCAGATTCTCTAACTGCAGAGTGCGGAGTGAGCGCAGTGAAGGGAGCCCCGCCTGCCGGGAGGTGCCGCGCGGACTTCAGGATGCGTGTTCGCAGGCTGTCTGTCTCAGGACCTTCCCTCCACTTGCCATTCCCCGAGCACACCATCTCACTGACATCGTGGCGTCCGTTTGGAGTGGATGTCGCTGTCTGATGGCCAGCACTGGTGCCCAGAGGCTGAGGGACTTGCCAGGGCCATCCCCGAGGACATGCAGAGGCCTCTCAGGAGATCACCTCTGCAGACAGTGGAAGATGCATGATTAAACAAGAGATGCTGTAAAAAAAAAACAACCTTATTTTATTTATTTGAAAGACAGTGTTAGAGAGGAAGAGAGAGAGAGAGGGAGAGCAGGGGGAGAGGGAGATGGAGAGAGAGAGGGAGAAGGAGGGAGAGGGAGAGGAAGGGAGGGAGAGGGAGAGGGAGAGAGAGAGAGAGGGAGAAGGGAGGGAGAGGGAGATGGGAGAGGGGAGAGAGAGAGAGAGAGAGAGAGGGAGAAAGGAGGGAGAGGGGAGATGGAGAGGGAGAGAAGAGAGAAAGAGAAGAGAGGGAGAAAGGAGGGAGAGGGAGATGGAGATGGGAGAGGGAGAGGGGAGAGGGAGATGTAAAAGAAAGGGAGGGGAGAGAGGGAGAGGGAGAGGGAGAGGGAGAGGGAGAGATTCGTCTATCATCTGCAGATTGACTCCCCAAAAGCCTGCAATGACCAGGGCTGGGCCAGGCTGAAGCCAGGAGGCAGCAGCTGCTTCCCGGTCTCCCACATGAGTGCTGGGGCCTAAGCAGCTGGGTCATCTTCCGCTGCCTTCCCAGGCACATCAGCAGGGAGCTGCATTGGAAGTGGAGCAGCCGGGACTAGAACTGGCACCGTATGGGAGGCTGCCATTTCAGGTGGTGGCTCAGCCGGCTACGCCACAGTACCCACCCCAATGAGAGATGCTCTGATGTGACACGGTCCCTGCATCGCACGAACCTGGCTTCCTGAGCCTCGCGTTGCTCTAGGGGTCAATCCTGGGGAGTTGTAGGGTGCCACCGGGAGGACTTTTCACTGCTGAGAAGTCTTTATCAGAGAGGTCGTCTTGCGTGCACTGAGCTCTGGGTTGCAGTGGACAGAAGCCTGGGCGGTAGCTGGGGAGTGCTGGAGGCAGGTGGCCTTGCAGGCCGTGTGTGTGTGTGTGTGTGTGTGTGTGTGTGTGTGTGTAGGGGGAGGGTCAATTCTACCCGCT